AAAAAAAAAAAAAAGTAGTTCCCTGTTGAAGATGCTCTCACAATCCCTAATTTCAGCACACACGAGGAAACAATCCTCCATGAGAACGAGCATAGGATTAGTTGCCCTCAACTTCAGGTGCAAGAATTATCAGACATATGTACCACAAAGTAAAAAAAAGCACCCAGAACATGAAAAAGAGGAAGAATTGGGTTTGCATGAGGGGAATCCCTTTGAAAAGGGAGGGGCTACTTTCAACTGGTTTGTCAAAAATAGGAACAGCAAAGATGAGTATTTATGGAGTCTGAACGGAATGAAATGAGAAGAAAGTCAATTTCTGTGCAAACTACCTTTATTTATAAAGAAACGTCCCCATTTTGTTATAAACATAAAACCAGAGCTCTGTAAAGGCACTTAACTGGGGAGAGGTAGGGCAGGGTTCCTGGTAGAGTCCAATGTGCCTTTTTACACCAAGCCACTGGGAGGGATGTGGTCAGAAGTGACTCCCAGGGAAATCAAGTGGGGATCACCAGTGGGTTGTCTTGCTGGGGGTAGGGGGAGTGACAGTAGGAGTGGGAGGCACTTTGAACGGGATCTAATGTGGCAAAAGGGGGGGAATTCTCTTGCCCCAGTGATTCCTAGCCCCTCCTGGACCTCCAAGGGCTAAGGCAGATTCCTAAATTTAAGGCTGGGGTCCTCCTTCTCCCCTGGGCTTCCGGGAGAGCAGAGGACTGGCGTGAGGCCTGCACCATTGGAGGGTTAGGGGGTGCAGCTAAAGGCAGCAGTAAACGGAATGGGAGGCCGGAGCTGAGGTAGGGCTACTTGCTCCAGCCCCTCTCTGAACGTCCTTCTGTCCTACTAGACTTTATTCCTCTGAGGCTTCACCCTGGGAAAGAGCTGAGGGAACACAGATCTTCAGACAGACCCCTGGAGCTCCTACCCCTTCATCCCACATTCAAATATGTGCACTGCCTCCCTCCTCCTCACCTCTTCTTAAGGGACTCTCTCAGCATCTTCCAGACCACCCCAGAATCCCTGAGTCCTGTGTTAGCTCCAAGAACTAGACAGAGCCTTCCAAGAGGAAGCCCCCATTGATGAAATGGGGTATTCTGAGTTTCCCAAACTGCCCTAAAGCAGATGTCTACCTGTCTCTAACGTAGATGTCCAGCTGGGTCCCACCTTCATCCACCCTCAAATTAAAAAAATCTTTCTGGAAAATAATAGAATCTTCCTGGTCTCTTCCCCCAACTCTTCTAGAATCTTCCTTAGTTCTACTATAATTTTATTAGTGGATTTTTCCTCATCCTACCTCATAACAAAAGCTTCCTCTCCACCATGCCTGTAACATACAATACTTAAACTTCCTCTTCCTCCCTAAGATGAGACCCTTCATTGCTTCCTTGCGAAAATTGATTACTGCTGTTATGACTTTTTAGAGACCGCGGTTTTACTATGTTGCTCAGGCTGGTCTTGACCTCCTAGCCTCAAATGATCCTCCCACCCCGACCTCCCAAATTACTGGGATTGTAGAAATAAGCCACCTGGCAGCCTAAAATGGATTATTCTTTAACCTCTCCATCAATACAATCAGGGATGATAAAAATATTTGAGCACTGGCTCAATTCAAAATAAATTTCAAGAGAAGAAAGAAAAGAAAAATTAGCTAGGCATGGTGTTGGGCGCCTGTAGTCCCAACTACTCTGGAGGCTGAGGCAGGAAGATTGTTCGGGCCCAGGAGTTCGAGGTTGCTGTGACCTAGACTGAGGGCACAGCATTCTAGCCCCAGAGTTAGCGCAAGACTGTCTTTAAAATAAATAAGTAAAGCATGAACCAAGGTAACCAGTAAGGCAGTACTGGTTACTTGGTTCATGGGTGGGTGGGTACCCCCCCCCCAAATGCCAGTTATGCAAAGGGCTCTTCCTCGCCTACTCGGCTAACTATAAGGGACCCTCCTCCTCCCCTCCATTCTCTTCCTCTCCCCCCGCCCCACCGCGACCAATAATGGGCTTTTCTGACTTCCCTACCCTATATAATGGTCTTTCCCTCTCAGCCTCTTCCTACCCCTTTTCCTGTGGGATCATCCTCTTCCCCACACTTAGGTCAGGAGGACCCCACCATCTCTCTGCTGGGCTCACCCCGAAGTAGTTGCGCGGCACGTAGCCCTCCTGGCCATGCAGTGCAGCCCACCACCAGTCGGTCTCCTCTGGCCCGTCCCTCCGCAGCACAGTGACCGACTCGCCCTCGCGGAAAGAAAGCTCGTCCCCGAACTCAGCGCTGTAGTCCCAGAGAGCGTACACCGCCCCGTTGTTCATCAGCCCCATACTCTGCTCCACGTCTGAAAAATGCCACGGCCAGGATCGTGAACACCAAGTCCAAAGACCCACGGACACAACAGGTCACGCTGGGGATAGGGACAAGAGCTTGGCTTTAGCGCCTGACCCAACAGGAGGGATGAGCCACCTGAAAAGTTGTGTGTGCCGGTGTCTGGGGATGGGAGCCAGAGCTGGAGACAGACGCCAGACTGGCAGTCTCCAATATTCGAGGACACTGGGCATGCATTGAGTTAGGTCACCTACTCCAGAGGCAGAGTCAATGGCCTCCCTTCCTTAAACAATGCTGAATCCTGTTACCCACTCCCTTAAGTGGTCTGATCTTCTCCTTTCCAGGTGGTGCAGTCCACACACTGAAGATATACTTACTTTTCTAGATGGGGGTAGAGCCCACCCCACCCCCAATCTAAGTGGTACAATCTCCATCAAGAATTTAGCCCCCTTCGTGATGGTATTGCCCACCATGCTCCCCTCTTCAGTGGTTCAGTCCACTTTGCTCTCACTTTTCCTCCCTTTTCTGCCAAGCTGCCTTGTCCAAGCTTCACCTTCACAAACTCTCAGTAGAACAGTATGATCCTCACATTCATAGGTTCCACCTACCTGTGACACAGGTGTAATGGCCCAGTCCCCCTCCCGAAGGTGCCCCCTTCAGCAGACGGTCTACATCTCTCCAAAGCAGTACAGTCCCTGTGGGCCCCTGCCTGCCCTAAAGGCAAGCATTATGGCCCCTTTCCTCTCACCCACTTTGCCAGTGTCGGCCCCACTAAGTTCACCTTTCAAATATGAAACCCTGTGTTTCACCCCCAGGTCCTGGGGTCTGCCTTACTCCAACTGTGAGGTCCCCAGCCCAAACCAAGATACAGCTTGGCCCTCCAGGTATGAAATAGAGGCTGGCTTGGCCCTGTAGCTCAGTGATTAGGGCCCCGGCCACAGACACTGGGGTGGCAGGTTCGAACCTGGCCTGGACCTGCTAAAACAACAATGACAACTGCAACAAAAAATAGCCAGGTGTTGTGGCGGGCACCTGTAATTCCAGCTACCTGGGAGGCTGAGGGAAGAGAATTGCTTAAGCCAAAGAGTTTGAGGTTGCTGTGAGCTGCAACGCCACGACATTCTACCGAGGATGACATAGTGAGACTCTGCCTCAAAAAAAAAAAGAAAAAATAGGCTCGGCACCTGTGGCTCAAGTGGCTAAGGCACCAGCCATATACACCTAAGGTTGTGGGTTCAAATCCAGCCTGGGCCCACCAAACAATGATGGCTGCAACCATAAAATAGCCAGGTGTTGTGGCGGGCACCTGTGGTCCCAGCTACTTGGGAGGCTGAGACAGGAAACTCGCTTGAGCCCAGGAGTTGGAGGTTGCTGTGAGCTATGATGCCATAGCACTCTACCCAGGGGGACAGCTTGAAGCTCTGTCTCAAAAAAATAAAATAAAAAATAAACAAAGACATAAAGGCCCGATTACAATCCTCCACGGTCCAACCTACCTTGTCCTTCCCTTTGAGGAACCAGGTGACCGAGCCTGCCTCCTGGAGAGACATGCTATAGCCTCAAGTTTTACTACAAGTGGAACAGTCCCCAAGCTCCTTCCCAGGAGCCACTGCCAACTTGCCTGCCAGGCGTGTACTGCCTATTCTACAAGTGGCAAATCCACCTGCCCAGCCCTGTGCCAGGTAGATAATTAGAAAGCCCACCTCCCCACCCCTGCAGGTGAGAAAGCAGATGAGCAACACAATCTCCAGACCGCTCTTCTCTCCGAAGGTGTCAGGCTTGTACAGCACATCCTCCATGTGTCCCCTCTCCCTCAATAGGGAACAGTCTACTACCCCAGCAGGTGGTCTGTCCACTTCCCCTCTCCTCCACAATCCTGGCACAGGGTTGGTACAGCCCCCACATCCTCTTAGCCCTCGTAGGGGGCAGCGTGTGCTCCCCCACCCAGTGCCTGCACATCCACCAGGGACCCTCCGGACGCCCAGCACTGCCTCGCACCTGCCAGGTAGGTGGCGCAGTCGGCATAACCCTCACGGTAGGGGTCGCACTTCTCGATGGCGGTGGCGCCGTCACTGAGCGTGGTGGCAAAGATCGCGGCGCCGTGCTGCACCAGAGCCATGCAAATGGCTGTGTCATTGCACGACGCTGCGCAGTGCAACGGTGTCCTAGGCATAGGAGGGAGGCGTGAGAGGCCGCGTGTCTGCCCAGGGAGAACCCAGCCCCGAGCGCCGTCCTAGTCAGGCACCCGCACCGCGCGGGTCAGGGCTCACCAGCCGTGGCTGTCAGGAGAGTTGACGTTGGCCCCGGCGGCAATGAGGAAATCCACGATGGAGTAGTTGGCGCCGCAGATGGCGTTGTGCAGGGCGGTGATGCCCTCCTCGTTGGGCTGGCTCGGGTCGTTCATCTGAGCGGATCCGGGGAGAATAAGACTCAGTCTCGCAGCTCTCCTCCCGTCCCCCCAGCCCTGCCCACCTCCAGCTCACTGGTGGTCCTCACCTCCTTCACCGCCTGTTGCACCACCTCCAGCTCCCCGGTTAAGGCGGCGTCTAGCAGCAGCACCAGTGGATTGAGGCGCGCGCGGCGGGCCTTGCGCGGAGAGCCCGCCTTCCGCAAGACTGAGCGCATCTCCTGGGGGACAGGGCGGGGATTTCAGCCCCTGGGAGGGCTTGTTAGTGTACCCATTACCCAGAGAGAGACACCCTAGACGCCCCAGGTTACTCGTTTGAGCAGGGGTAGGGCTGGGATTCACACCCAGGGAGGTCCAGAGATCCAGACAGGAGGGATGGGGATGCCTCAGTTCTCTAGAGCCCCCAGTTCCCTACAGCAGTCACAGAATCCTGCGACTTTGGAAATTTGGCCCCAAGACCTGAGAGAAAGTTGGGAGACCATTAAGTTGGTGGCAAAGTAATTCTAAGCCTTCACAGCAATGATTGTGGAAGAGAGTTACTCAATTCACACACAGTCCTGTTTCTTTTACAAAAAACAAATACTATGAAGCACACTCGACAAAATGTTACCAGGTGTTAATTCAGATGTTTGGGATTTGAGTATTTATCACATTATTCCTTGTGCTTTCTTATCTTCAATTTTCCTCTGCCATGATTCATTTATTCTGAGTGTGTGCATGTGTAGCATTTGTTATTCTGGTCTTTACCATTTCCAGAGTTTCAAAGATCTGGGGATTCTGGAATTCAGATACCCAAAGCCACTGAATCCAGAATTCTCTGATTCTCAGTTATGTCAAGTTTCCAACATGATATGATTGTGGAAAAGCTAAGTTGCACTATTTCAAATTGCTGAGGGCCCAGGAGATTGGATTATTGAGAATTTTAATGTTTAAAATTTCATTCCAAGCCAGGTATGGAGGATCATGCCTGTAATCCTAGCACTCTGGGAGGCCAAGGCGGGTGGATTGCTTGAGCTCAAGAGTTTCAGACCAGCCTGAACAAGAGCGAGACCCCTTCTCTACTAAAAGTTGAAAAACTAGTCAGGTGTTGTTGCAGGTGCCTGTATTCCCAGCTACGTGGGAGACTAAGCCAAGAGGCAAGACTGATCCTCTGAGGCAAGAGGATCACTTGAGCCTAAGAGTTTGAGATTGCTGTGAGCTATGATGCCATGGCACTCTAGCTATGGTGACTCCATGAGACTGTCTCAAAAAAAAAAAAAAATTACACTCTGGAGACCCAGGAAGGTGGATTGCTTGAGCTCAGGAGTTTAATCACGACCAGCCTGAGCAATAGCAAGACCCTATCTCTACTAAAAATAGAAAAACAGAGCTAAGAGGATCGCTTGAGTCCAAGAACTTGAAGTTGCTATGAGCTATAATGCCATGGCAGTCTAGTCAGGGCACCAGAGTAAGACTCCATCTCAAAAAGATATAAAATTCATTCCAAAATACTGGAAGGACATTCTTAAAAGATTAAGCATGGCTTTCTATGAGAGCAGTTTATGTCCTCTTCATTGTAGCTTTATTTATTTCCCCCAAGTTTTCTATGGTATTTGTGAATCTCCTTAGTGTCAATTTAAAATATAATTCTGTATTACAACATATTGATGTGTTCATTTGTGATTTTATAATTCAAATTATGAGTATCTTTAATTTTCAGCTTTGGTGACTTCAAGAATCAGTAATAATAGTCTATGGTTCTATGATGAGACAACTCTACCATTTCAAGATGTCATTCTTCCCTTCTTGATTTCAAGATCCTAAGCCTCAACATTCCCTGGGTGTACCTTTAGCTATAAATGGCTCTACCTTTAGCTAGAAATAGCCATTTGAGGTGTTCACTTGGTCTCCACTTATGTAGAAATTGTTCTCTTCCCTCTGTCTATCCACACTGAGTGTTCAGGACTGTTCCATGTGACTACAATCCGTAAACCAAGATGCAAGGACTGAGATCAGCAGGAGACCATTCATTGGTCCAATAATAACAACAATAATAGTAGTTAGCAGCTATGTGTCAAGCACTATTCTAGGTACTATATTAATACATTTAATCTTCACAGCAACCCCATGAGGTGAATACTGTTATTTTCACCCCCACTTTACAGAAGAGGAAACTCAGGCCCAGAGAGGCTAAATGTCTTGCCCAAGTTTGCACAGCTTATAAGCTGCATGGAGCTGGGATTCAAACATCCTCAGCTAGTCTGCAGCTGGTACATTTAACCATGACACTCCCAGCCAAGACCAGAGACTTGCTGTTTCTAAGAAGAGAGAGTAAATCTCTAGAAAAAGCAGACACAAGAGAATGTATGGTCTTCAGGTTGAGAGAGACAGAGAGAGAAAGAGAGGGTGACCAGGCTTTCCTGGTCCCAGAAAAAATCCCAATGCTGTGCCAAGACTTCTAGTCATTTCAAGATGTAACACTCAGAGATTGCTGAACGAGGACCCAGGGGTGGGATCAGGTACAGGTTATGGGGAAGGAAGCCTCCGATATGAGGGAGCATATGACCCTCCATATACTTTCACACACATCTATGCATGGATTAAAGACTACATTTCCCAGCCTCTCTTGCAGCTGAGTTTCTGGCTAATGGGATGGGGCAAAGTGATATGTGCAATTTCCAGGTACTGCCTCAAAAGGGAAGGAGTACTTTCTCTTCTTCCTTTGCCCTTCCTACCTGGAAGGCAGACTTGGTGAGAGCCATCTTGGACCATAAGGACAGATTAACCCCCAATGGATGGCAGAGCCCCACGTAGATGGAGGCTGGGTCCTGACTCCATAGAGCTGTGTACCATCCCTGGAATGCTCCTCAGGAGAAAATTCCTATCTCATTTAAGCCATTGTATTTTGGGGGCTATTTGCCATAGCTAGAAAACCTACCCCCACTTTCCTCCTATATTACTTACCATGCTCTGTGGCTGCTCTGGTGGACTGCTCTGGGGCAGGGCTGGGGGAGGTATAGGAGCTGGTGGGGCAGGAGCAGGGGGCCCTGCCCTGGCCTCAGGTCCCTCAGTAATGGAGGACAGCTCTGGCTCAGGGCCCCCAGACCCCGGCCCACCATGGCGATGGAAGAGGCGGTTGATGATCTGCTGGTACTGTTTCTTGTGGGTGGGGGGCAGGGCCACAGCGGGGCTCTGCTCCATGGAGCCCCTGCGTTTGAGCGGCCGAGGAATCTCTGCCAGGATCCGTGCCACCTCCTCCAGCTCGGGCACCGACTGCGCCTCAGGTGGCAGTGCTGGCTGTAGCCTTGTCGGGCTGAGGGGTCGAGTCACAGTGCCCTCATCTCCATCGCCAGCCTCCAGCACTGGTGCCAGCAGCCCTTCAATCTCTGGTTCAGGCTCCAGCTCAGCGGGAGGTTTGGGGGGGCCTAACAGGAACAAGAGCTCCATCAGAGGGTGGGTTCTCAGGAGACCACCCAAGACACTCCCTTCCCATGACTTCCAGGACCTACATCCAACACCTGATCTGCTGTGTGACCTTGCCCTCTGTGGACTATTCCCTGGACTGTGAATAATATAGTTATAACACCTATTTACTGAGTGGTTAGCATGTGCCTGTTGCTTTTCATGCCTCTCTCAGTGGACCTCACCACTACCTTATGAGGTACATACGCTGTCCTCCTCAGTATGGAAAAGGAATCTGAGTCTTGAAGTGGACAAGTCAGTTGCCCAAAGCCACATCATTGAGATCTGAACTCAGTCCTGTCAGACTCTAGAATCTATACTCCTACAAACCATGACAGACTCGACTTTCTAATATTCTAAGAATTTCCTCTCCTAACATCTCACCCAGAAAACTGTCAAGGGTAGAATACTGGCATTTAATGGTCTCTTCTCTTAGTCCCCAGGAGCAGAGTTTCTGAAGCAGTTGGAAATAATAATAATCACTCCCTATGGATTATTTCCTTGAATCCCCATTGCAACACTATAGGG